TGATGTAATGTGGTGTTTCCACAGCCTGCTGCGCCGTGACACTGTTGTGGAGGTGCATTGCCTGGCACCTGGTTTATATCAACCATGGTGATCGGTGAAACGTGACTTTTTTTCTTTTTTTCTTTTGGGGGGACAGCATTAATGCTTCACTTCTTCACTCTCCATTTTATTAGTGTCATTGGTATTGCAGTAGCAGCTGCAGGCCGTGCTCGGGAATAAGGCCCTGTTGCGCCGGGTGCTGGACCAACACACACCCAGAACGAAGCCGGTTCCTGCCTCGAAGAGGTTATAGTCAGAGTAACTGCTGACTGTTTTGCGCAAGAATATGCAAAGAAAGAAAAATCCTGGCTGGTCTTCTGCTATCAGGCTGGATGTATTGATTGAAATTGACTCTTGAGGGCATTTCTGCTGCCCCCTCTGTTAGGAACATAGCATTTCCCATGGCAGACACGTTTACTGATCCGTTTCCTCAAATACCCTGCTTTAGCTGTTGATCCGACTGGATGCTCCAGATCCTGAAGAAGGCAGAATCTGTTTTCCCCCAGTGAAGCACTTGGGTCCCAATGGTGAAATGCTCTTTGTGGGTGTTCCTCATGCCCTGGACTGTGAGATTTGGTTATATGTGGAGTAGGGCGATTCCTCAGACTTTGAGAAAGCAATTCCCACCCCAGGTCCTCTCCTAGGAGATCTTGAACACAACCTAGAAAGTCTATAAAGAGAACAGAGTTCAAAGCCTTAAGTCTGGTCTACATTAGAAAATTAGGTTGACCAAGCTGACTCAATCAGGGATGTGAAAAATCCTCCTCTGAGTGGTGTAGTAAAGCCAACCAGTGTAGAGAGCATTAGGTTGACAGAATTCTTCCATCGTTCTAGCTACCGTCTCTCAGGGATGGGGTTTACCTACTCTGATGGGAGAAACGCTTCCATCAGCATAGGTAGTGTCTACACTGAAGCGCTGTAATGGCACAGCTGTGCCACTGTAGCATTTCAAGTGTAGACAGGCCCTTAAGGTTTAACTTCACACACTCCCACACCCAGACTGGCCCCTGCTTTTGACCTTGTCTGTAGCAGGAAGTTTTAACAAAAATTTTCTGCTGTTGCTACCACCAGGTCAGCTTGATTGGTGGTAGCATTAGGGAAGATGAGGTGCTGGTAGCTAGCAGTGTTTTAGGCACCATGTTATGCAGCCCTGCTCTGAGAAGGGTTTGGTGACACACCACCTTAAAATGTCATTAGCGAAAGCCAAATGGAGCCATAAACTGTCCAGATCAGTGCATTTTAAAAGTGAAGGGAGAGGCTTCTTAATTATGAAGACCCAAGTTGAGGTCTATACTAGAGACTTTTGCCGGGATAGTAATGTTAGTTCGGGTGTGTAAGTGTCATTTTTCTGTCCGCAAAAGCACTAGTGTAGAGGCAGTTACACCAGCATAAAAGTGCTCTGGCCGGTATAGCTTATGTCACTTGCCAAACTAGTATAAGCTATTCCAGCAAAAGCACTTTTTTGATGGCATAAACTGTATCGACAACAGAAGGGTTTGCTGGTATGGCCGTACCTTTTCTAGTGTAGACCTGGCCTTAGCGTTTCTTCCACAGCAGCTCAGGACCTTGCTGATACCTAAGGCAGAGCAGGCAACTGCCTTGTCCCTACCTTAGATATTGACACATCGGTAACTCTTGCAGGAGCAATACCACTTCCTGAACTCAAGCCTTGCAAGCCAGGGTGAAGCAAGAACTGTATTTTGTCTTGGGTTTTTTTGGGGGGAAGGAGAGAGGAAGGGGGAACAACTTACTTACGCTGAAGCCCATGCATCTATTTATTAATGATCTGGGATCCCAAATAGCCTTTCTTTAAAAGGCGTTTTGTTTCGAATCAGTTTATATTCAGAATGTTTTAATTGTGTTGAAGCTTTTTTCAATGGCATTTTGTGACACCACCTGACTTGTCTTTGTCCTCAGAAATGTTTTATTATTTAATTATTTATATTGACTTCTGTAGCCTCAAAGCACTTTACAGAATTGCAAACCTTGGGCTTGATCCTGGCCTCCTTGCGCACCAAAAGGTTGTTTTCAAAACCACTGGGACTCCTGTGCATTTGATGGCAGGATGCAATCTGCCACAGAGGTCATTTCACTGCACTCTCTTCTTGGGTGGAAGGCAGCAGCTGTTAGAATTATGTTAGTAATTCTACATCCTGCTGTGAAAGGTGCTTTAGGCCAGGCGTCTTCAGCATGGGGGCTTGCAAATAGGTTTAGGGGGTTGTGATAACCTCACAAAGGGAGTTCTGTATCTCTGAATAGAGGTTCCACAACTTCTCTGATGCGATGAGAGGTCACAGTAAGGAAAAGGTTGAGAACTGCTGTTTTAGACAAGTGTGTAGCAAGAACAGGTGCTCAGTGTCACAGTTTCAGGGTAACTCCATCTATAGTTCTTACTCTGTGGGTGCCCTTCATGCACTTAAAGGTTCCCAGCACCCAGCCATCACCTCTCATGGATGGAGACCTGTGTCTCACTTCTTGTGAGTAGGGATTTTAACGCTGCACAGCTCCCTGATCTACACTGTACTAACCCCAGCAAGCCAATCTGCCATCATCTCTGCTTTGCTTTCTCTCCGAGATCTTGCCAGCAGTCACAAGTTACCACACTGCTCTTTCTAAGCAAGCATGTTTATTCATAAGTAAGGCTAAGGTTTAGTCATGGGCATTTTTAGTAAAAGACGTGGACAGGTCACGGGCAATAAACAAAAATTCACGGCCCTGTGACCTGTCAATGCCTTGTACTATATACCCCTGACTAAATCTTTGGTGTTCTGGGGGGCTCTAGGGGCACAGCTGCTGCTCTGGAGGAGGTGCTCTGAGGCACCCGATGGTGGGGGGGGCTGGCTATGCGGTGCCCACTGATGCTCAGGGTGGGGACCCTGGGGTGCCCACTAGTGCTGGGGGGACGCTCCGGGGCGTCCGCTGCTGCTCATGGGAGGGAGGGGTCACCACTGCTGGCGAGGGGACGGCCCCGCCAGCCCAGGATTGCCGCGCTGCTGCTGGTGGGAGGCAGCTCAGGACTGTCGCTGTTACGGAGGTGGGGGGCGGTGCGGCTGGCCCTGGGGCTGCCTGAGATGCTCAAGTGACCCTGGGGTCAACCGCACCTGCCAGCTGCAGAAGTCACGGAATCCCAGAAAGTCATGGAATCAGTGACAGACTCTCAGCCTTATTCATAAGGGAAAAACATGACAGCGAATGTATATAAAAACTATAAAAGAACCCACATACATGCTAAAAAGGTCACTCCCACCCCACACCCCCGCTCCACATAGGTGTCAGTCCTTCAAATCCCACAAGTGGGTTTTCCCTGTGGTTACAAGTTCTCATCAGTCTTTAGATCAGGCACCAGATTGAAGGCCCTGAGTCAGTTTAAGATCAGGCTGTTTATCTAGATGTTCGGTTTTTTAATTTTTTTTTTTTTCAATGTTGGTCTCTGACGAATCCAGTCTAAAGCAGACTATGCACTTTCCCAGGAGGTGGTACCTCTCTGGAGGTGTTATAACTTGAATGATTTGCCTACTCATCCCTTTCCGTTTACACTTCCTGCAAGAGCTGTGATAACCCTCCTGCCATGGAATGCGTACAGTCCTTAGCCCACAATGATCCATGCCCTTAATGCAATATGGTCTCCCAAAGATATTGCAGAAACCTGCCCATCTGTCACAGTCAGGACCTTGACTTGGTGTCTCCTTGGAAGAGCGGTGCCTCCAGCAGCACAGTTTTATCCTGTTGGGACACTAGCGCAGTCCTACTGAGAGTAAAGAATGCTGCCTATTTATGAAAACCAGAAATCGCCCTATATCACTTGCTAGCGTTTGGAAAATTGAAGCTTGGGAATGGGGGACCAAAGATCCCTTCTGGGCTATATCATTCTATCCATCAGAGATGGCGGACAGCGAGAAGCGTCCTGCGGGTTTGCAGGATTTTTTTTTTAAAGGGCATGAAAATTATGGGATATGGATGGCGTTATAGGATGAGGACAGTTGCATGATCGGAACTTGTCTCCTAGCTCCCAGAATTCCCTGCGTGACTCATTTCTACCCCACAACGCATTGGGCAAGCCTCCTAAGAGGCTTTGCACTGGAGAATGGCTTATGGCACACTGGGATACCTGTCTACCCCTGGTGCACCACACCTGTCATTGACACAGACACTCCTGGTGAGTACGCACAATGCCAGCACAAGAAGCCAAGTATGCGCGTGAATGAGCGATCTACTAACTGCCGCGGCGGCTCTGTGCCAACGTAACTGGTGTTAGATGGTTTGTAGTGCAGACATGTCCTTGTTCTGTATGCCAAGACTGCTATGCAGTGTCATACACCACATTGGTAAAACTATGTGCGCAACGTATGTATGGCTTTTTTTAATGGTACGCCTTCGGCCATGCTAATTTGTGCTACCAGCTCCTTGGATGTCACAAGCTGAGTTAGTTTGTGGATAGGAGAGAGAGGGTCTTGCAGGAAGTGGTGTGGGGATGGCTTATTTGAAACATATACTTCTACCTTGATATAACGTGACCCAATCTAATACGAATTCGGATATAACGCGGTAAAGCAGTGCTCCGGGGGGGGGCGGGGCGGGGATGCGCACTCCGATAGAGCAAAGCAAGTTCGATATAACGCGATTTCACCTATAACACAGTAAGATTTTTTTGGCTCCCAAGGACACTGTTATATCGAGGTAGAGGTGTATTTGTAAGGCAGTTGCTACAGCAGTGCTTATCGCTATGCAAATGTATAAATAAAAGCAGTAGATGGTGCTCTTTCGTCTGAGTCAGTACAAAGCTAGTGAACCAGGATACCAGTAGGGCAGTGTTGCAAAACTGTCACGAAAATCTGCCAGCCCAGGCACAACGTTGACTTGCCGACTTACCAAGCTATTAAAGATGATAATGTTATACGAGGAGAGAACATATTTTACATGCTGATCAAAAAAATAAAAATTCTTTGCGGTGGGCAAGTAAAATTGTGTAAAGTTGTGTTAGGGAGCACTCTTGGAGGTACCTTATTTGAAATTAGATGTAAAACTGCCGCTCTATGTGTTTTGGGACATAAAAGAAACCATGGCGCTCTGGGAATGGGCGCTAGGGAATGGATCACTTGATGATTACCTGTTCTGTTCATTCCCTCTGTGGCACCGGCATTGGCCACTGTCGGAAGACAGGATACTGGGCTAGAAGCACTTTGGTCTTACCCAGTATGGCCGTTCTTATGTACTATAACATAATAACCCCACTGCCTTTGCTAAATTCCAGTTTGGAAAACGGTTCTGCTTTCAGTGGGTGGTTTGTATTCTTCTTTCCTCGTTTAGTTTCGTATAGCGTTGCTTTGCATGTTATTTGCTGTTGAGCCAGGTGAAGTGATCCATATATAAACACTTCTGTTTTTAAACGGCTTTAGGCCCTTTTAGGGTTTCTTGTTTTGCCCATTCCGCTGGTGGTTTTCAGAATCCCAAATGAAGCTGATCTTGCCGCCCACACATAAGAAAATCCAGTTTCCCACTGAACCGAGGTGTCTGCTGGATGTAGAAACACTGAGTCATAAAACTGGAGCTATGGAAAACTTGGATAAAATTTAAACATGCACATCCAGGGTATCTCAGTTTTCCTGTTCTGCTTTTTTGTTTCTTTGTTTTGGTGTTGTCCTTTGATTGATAAGGCCCCATCTGGTCATCTAAATAGACAAGCAATACAGGTCAGTGACTCTGGGCATTTAGTGGCCATGAGAAACATTCGTTTTCTGGGGTTTTTTTGTTTTTTGGGTTTTTTTAATACTGCTTTCTTTGCTGGATTAACACTGATAGATTTGGGGACTAACCATGTGATTTGAGTCAAGGTGATGCGGTCACTGGGTTCACACATTTGTCCTTGTGAGGGCTGCGAGACAGGTTTGAAATGAACACACACTTTATAAATAGATTTATTTCTCATGAAATGTATAACGGTCTCTGCTTCTCAGGAATTGTGTTCTGGGTATTTTTTTTATTACACGAAATAAATGAGCACTAGAATTTCCCAACTGATGCGCTATGCTGGGATGTCTTTAAAATTTGACAGGCATGTTGAATCTGTTTAGAGTAAAGGATACCAAGCCTTGAAGGGTGGGATGTTTTTTAAGAGGCTAAGAAATACCATATATGTATTTTGTATAGTGCCTCCATACGCACTGTATCCCAAAACACTTCTCAGAGTTTTTAATAATAGTTACAAAGCGCCATGATAAATATTTGTAGTATACTGTATTTCATTGAATTATTTTATAGCTCTCAGAAGCATGTAGTCATGTCACAGAAGATAAGACACATTCCCTGCCGTAACGAGCTTACTCTCAAAATTTTAGACATGATACAGTAAACGAGGGTGCCAAACAGAAGGAGATGAATGAGTGAGGAGGATGAGGGTTACTGCCTGAGCATATGTCAGTGACTTCCTCAAGGATGTCGTAGTGAATATTATTCTCCTATGGTGGCACTACAATAGAAGTGAGGTTTTTTTTAGCATGGGTTTCACAGAGGAGGGGGTAGTGACATGGCAGAGCAGTGTGTGGAGGGCATTCTGAGCTCAGTCCTGCAAGCTGCTGGCCACACTGGCCCCAAGCCAACCAAGAACTTATGCACATGCTTAACTTAAGCATGTGAGTAGTCCCCTCACATGCTTAAAGTTAAGACTTCCGCGAGACCATTCGCACGCTAAAGTGAACCATGTTCTTAAGTGCTTTGCTGGCTCAGGTCCAGAGTGCTCCAGAATGCTCCACACGTAAGTGGCAGCATGCAGAAAGTCATGGAGACACTTAGGGGACAAGTGGATGAAGCAGGTCGTGAAGGGTGGCATTGCTGGAGCAGCAGAGGGGATGGGATGAGACGTGTGTCTGGATGAGTAGGTAGGGGTGGAATTACATAGGCGACACAAGTATAAATTTGATGCTGTGGATGTTTGACAAATCAGCCTATAGTCAGGGGACAGGAAGGTTGTGGGGGGACTGGAGAAAGCTACATCACTCTGTTACATACTCTTCATCCGTGATTTGTAACCTTTATGAGTAGGTAGGTGGACTCAAGCATGGTTGTATCCTTGAAACATGATATAGGTAGCTTGTACCTCTTGCTAACTTTGATCCACCGGCACCCACTTCCGTACTTGTCTATTCTGAGGATAACTGCGCTGAAGTCAGCATGGGAAAATGAGGCAACACTGCATGCACAGATTGTGATCTGTAGTCCTTATTTGTCAACAGAGTTTTCCAGGTGCAGCAATAAGTGAAAAATACACGCACGTTCGCAGGTTTGAACAGGCCAGATGACGTCAGGTCTGAATAGCTGAAGTGCAAAAAAACAAAAAGATCTGAATCATCTGAAAGGAAGAAAAACACTTTTGGGTCCCACGTTCAGAAAGGACTGAACTGATTCTCCTACCAGATGCGAGGAGAGAAGAATATATATTTTTTTTAAATCACTTATTGGGCTGAAAAACGGAAATTCAGCACAAAGAGTCCCCTTTTTTTTTTCCTGGAAAGTTCCAAGAGCCATGGGCCCATGATAGAATGATAGAGCCTCCTCATCTAGAGCTAGTTCATGGTCACAACAGTATTTGAAGTGCCTGTCCATAGACCCTTCTTATGCCATCTTCCGCTCTATTAACAGTAGTGCCTAGAGACCACAGTCAACTTGGAGGGGCACTGTGTAAGTCACCCCCTTCCCTCCTCCCCCGGAGACTGTCCCTGCCCCTAAGAGACTAGAGTCTAAATAAACAAGACAGATAAGAATCATCCCTGTTTTACTGGTGGGGACCTGAGACCCAGAAGGCCAGGTTTTTAAAGGCATTTAGGGCCCTGATCCTCCAGGGTATTCTGACTCCTAACTTGCATTGATTTCAATGGACCGTAGGTGCCTAAATACCTAAAGGTGCAGAGAGGTTTCTGTGGGATCAATGGGAGTTAGGAGCCTTAGGTGCTTTTGAAAATCCCACTGGGCACCCAAGTGCCTTTAAAAATCTAACCCAGCAAGTTTAAGGGTGGGGTTTTCCAAATGCTGTGTTTGCCTACCCCCGGTATAGATTAATCATGTTGATTTAGATACAATTTGCCTGTTGTTGTTTCTGCTCCTTTTCTCCCTACTTCTGCCTAATCGTCATATCCTTGGGCCACCCTTCTTGGATGTCGGGGAAGAGCCAGCATGTAGGTGCTACCATACAGAAACATCATCATCATAAGGGGGCGGCGGGAAGGAATCACATTCTCTCTGTGTGAAAGATACCTGATCTAAACATTGCAAACCATCCCAACTGCTAGCGTATCTCTAATTGCCGGCCATCTAGCTCCTTTCACTCTTGCGATGGGCTGACTGCAACAGATCAATATTAAACCTCTGATTTAAAATGTTCCCCTTTTCCAGCTGACGAGGAACACCAGCGAAATGTGGCAGCCGTGGTGGCCAGGCCTCGGCCTCACACTGATGAGCGGGGAGAAGGGATGCCCAGACGCCGAAGGAACATGGGCAGCAGGATGCTGGCCCAGAGGAGAGCACAACAGGCAGAAGATGGGATGGAAGGTAACTTCTGATTCAGCTCCGCTTTTAAAAACGGATTGGGCTAGCAGATGATCTTGGCTTGGGTTAGGTACGAGGTAAGGTTCCCAGAATGTCCTGTCCAGCTGCATAGCCTGAAACTGACCTGACTTAGTGTCCTAATAATCTGAAGGTAAATTTACACACGACTTCCTCCAGTGGGTTAGACCTCATATCACTGGAAGTCATTTGCCCATTGCTGAAATGCAGCTGCTTCTGTGATGGATTGTGGCAGCCGTTCTGTGCCAGCAATGCGACACTGTTTCTAGGAGGAGGATGAAGAATACTGGGTTTTTTTTCTCCCTCAGTTTGAAACTACGAGGGGAAATTAGTAGAAAGGCAGAACATAGGTGACCACTTTCACTGGGGCTAACAGCTCGACCCTATCGAAAGTGCAAAGGGGTCTTAGGGTAAAAACAGAATTGGTACCTTGGTGTTTATACCCTGCCTCAGCAGCACAAAGCATTGGTTTAGTGCTGTCTTAGGGGAAAGAACTCCACCTACTAAATCACCAACTCCACTTCCTGCAGCATCTGGGTTTTCCTTGGTGGGCTCCCATCCAAATACTGATCAGAGCAGACCCTGCTTAGCTTCAGATTGGAACACTGTGAGGTGTGGTTGTAGGTCACTGTGGACAGAGTCCTGTAATTTTGTTTTGCATCTTGAGTTAGTAACCACGTTATCTTAGTGTGGTTATGGTCAGGGAAGTGCCTATAAGTAACACCTTTTTATTCCCTGTAAATGCTGTTTGCTGACTATTCTAGCCAAACTGCCTTTTTGTCACTCCATACCCATTAGCTCTGCAGAGCCATTACAGCTATGAGTGAATGAGTTGGATGCTTCTCCGGCTTGCAACATGAACAGCGTTGTTCACCGAGCTTGACTCTCCGATCCTAGGTTGAGTTTGTAGGGCTCCCATCCAAGTGCTGGTCAGGGTAGACCCTGCTTTGCTTGAGATTGCAGCACCAGATGATACAGTATCGTACTGGGAGGAAGGGGAATCTTGTCATTGATAAACAGATCCTGTTTGATTGGCAGTCAGTGAGAGATAGCATGGCGCGCGCGGCATGATGCTTTGTCTTGGAGAGAATCACACTTTACCAGCTTTTATTTTCCTGCTGTTTTTAGTAGATGTTTGCATTTGCTTTGGCAGGTAAATGTGCCATCTAAGCTAATTATATTTAGCTGTGTCACACATGGGAGATTGACAGGGTCTGAACTTTGCTGTTTCTTTTGATGTGCTGGCACACTTAAAAGACTGAAATCTAAAAGTCTTTTGATGTCTGAAGCCTGGGCCACTCAGACTTTATCCTGAGGAGCCAAATGTGAAGCTATCAAAGCACAGCTGCTTATGTTAGTTTGCACATTAGCAGTGAAAGGATACATGTCATCAGCCCATATAAATTCTTTTGTGGCTCAGTGCACATCAAAGGCAAGTGACTTAGCCCTTATATAAAGTTGTCTTTGTATTGACATCTGTTTACTTGTTTCTACAGTCTATAGCCTATTAAGACAACTCCTTTTTTCCCTGGGTGTCCCTTCTCTCACCTCTATCTTGTGCTGCTGGTACACCCTCTTGAGTACCTGAGCACTGACGCACAGTGCTAATGCCTCATAGGGAGAGCACAGGCACCGGAAACCATACAGCGGCTGGACTTGCAACCACTTTTTGTGGATTTGCTGCTCTCTTCTGCGGGCTGCCTTTAGATCAGTTGCAGGGCTGTAGGCATCCAGGATTTCAGTTGATGTGTGCTTAAAAATAAGCTGCTCCTCTGTCTCTTTTCTATTTTGGACTTGTATTATGGTTCAGATGCTTTGGTCCGGCTGAGCAGAGCTTTGTTTTCAGTGGCCTGGGCCTGGGCCTGGTTCTGCGCTGGCCTGGTTCCTGACACAGGTTGAAGCAGACTTAAAACTAGTTACACCAGCTGCCAAAGTTCCCTTTCTCCCCAAATACTCCCTTATGTTGAGAGCTGAGAACGCAGACGTAGGAGTCGCTCCAGTCACCAGAGGATCCCCCAATGCAGGATGATCCTTCTGGTGGCAATATCGGATTTGTCCTAGGAGACTGGTACGAAGTAACGCCAGCAGACCTGGGCCTTGTGTAGCTTTTGTTCAGACACTGGATGTGGGTCGTGAGGATTTTTTCCATCTTACCATTAAATTTCCTTGCTAGGATAAGACCCCTTGGAGGGAAGAAGGGTGACCCTGTACTTTTGCTGACTCCACTGAATTGCTGTATCACTTCAGGACTGAAGTCTTCTCCTGTAGAATTAACTCAGAAGTTTAAATCATCTGGTCTGACCTCCTGTATAACACAGGCTATGGAACTTCCTGAAATAACTCTTGTTTGAACTAGAGAATTCTATTTTTTTTTTTAAGATGATCTTGATTTAAAAATTGCCAATGACAGAGAGTCCACCATGACCCTTGGTAAATCCTTCCAATGACTGATTACCTTCACTGTTAAAAATGTGCACCTTATTTCCAGGCTAGCTTCACCAATCATTGGCTCTTGTTATATCTTTCTCTTCTAGATGGGAAGAGCTAATATCTGTTCCCCAGGTAGGTACTTATAGACTGTAATCAAGTCACCCCGTAACCTTCTGTTTGTTAAGCTAAAGAGATTGGGCTCCCTGGAGTCTCACTATAAGGCATGTTTTCTAATAATTTAATTATTCTTGTGGCTCTTCTCTGAACGGTCTCCAATTTACCGAATGGTGCTAGGAACAGGATTCCTGTTGCTAGCTTCTAGTTGTCATTTCTTGATGTTTGTGTCCAGCCTGTTCAATTTGTATTTTAATCTCTATGGGTGCTTATAACAAGCTATTGAAATAAGTTAGATGAAGGCTTAATTTTATTTACTGGACCTGATAGCTAGATATTGAGGGTGTGCGGGGGAGGAATAGTTAATAGAAAGAGAGATGGAAAATGATTATTTTGGGGGGGTGTAAATACCCATCCTTAGCAAGTAAAGCTAAATCAAGTTGAAATCTCTTTTTGTGGCTGTTTCTTCCTGCAGTTTGGGTGGGTCAGGACATCTGAATAACTAGCAGATTGGCACAGAAAACAGGGCTGAAACGCCTCACGCCAACGGTTTCCCCACAGAGCCTTGACCCCCCGTGTGTAGGCGGGCTCCTTATTCAAGGGTTCCGTGTGGGCTGTGGCAGGTCATGCAGGCAGGCCTGTTAGCCAAGTGTCCCACGCGGGCTCCACCTGCTGAGTAAAATTGTCAGTGGTTAGTTGACTACTTAAAGAAGGTCATCTCTTCTGAGAGTAACCATGTCTATTCATAACCGGCTCGGATCAAAATGGTGGGACAGACTTCTGACAGAGTGGTTCTCAAAATGAGTGAACCCAGTGAGCTAATTGCTAACCTCCTTATTTCTAAATTGGCTCAGAAAATAGTCTTGGACTGGTAGATGTTGCTGCTCCAGACCACGGTGGTGGTGGTGGTGCTGCTGCTGCTATTAATACTAGTTACATAGATCTACATGGTGCTGGACAAACAGATGACCAAGCTCGTGCTCTGGGGGGCTTTCAGTCTAAGTTAGGCATAACATAGCAAGATGGGCAACTGTTGGGGACCTTCCCGGGGCTGGCATTACAACAGTGAAGATAATGAATAAACTTATGGTTAGGTACTGAATGCTCCATGTTTGTTTGAAATATTGATAAGTTGGGGGCGTGGTAGCGTAGAGAGGAAGGAGTGCCCTAACCATTGGGCCATAACTTAGGGCTTGGGAGACCTGGATTCAATTCCATGCTCCGCCACAGACCTCCTGTGTGAATTTGGGCCAGTCACTGAGCCTTTCTGTGCCTCATAAAGAACAAAGCCGGAATTTCAAGTAAGAATGTGAGTTTGCAAGGCTCAGGGTTTGAGAGGGAGACTGCGTGGCTCGGGAATGGCATTAGCTGAAACCAGCTTTGAAATCTCTTTAGTTGATTCAGGTGGAGGTGGCCTTTGCTGGCTCTGACTTTCACTGATTCACCAAAGCTCATATCTCTGGTGGAGTCTGGTTGTTTTTAGAGTTTAATGGTTTTGCTGAAAGCTTTTATTCCGACATCAGATTGAGTGGCAGCCCTGTTCTCAAGCTGGGTCTGCAAGCCCAGAGTGGTGGCTTGTTGCTGCTAAAATGCTCAGCAGTGAAGTGGTTAACTTTCTGGGCGCTTTAATTTTCTTTGGCAAGTTCAGAAAAAATATCTAGACTCCTATGGGTTTACTCAAACCTTCTGAGGCCTTGATTCTTAGTAAAATGACCAAAATCCCCCAAGAATGCACACAAAACCATACAGCGCCTTGCACACGGGGGATGGGCCCTCTGAGTGTTACAGCAATAAGATAATTCTTGTTGTATATGCCACAGGACCCTCCGCTTATCTGGAGAATAATTGCTGCTGCTTATTAATTGTAAGACAGGCACCTCAAATGAGATTAGAGCCTCATTGTGCTAGATGCTGTACAAACGTGTAGTGAAAGACACTCCCTTCCCCAATCTAAACAGACAAGCCAGACAAGGGTGAGAGGGAAAACAGGCACAGAGAGGTGAAATGTCTTTTCCAGGGTTCACAGCAGGCCAGTGGCAGAGGTCTCCTGACTCTCACTCCAGTGTCCTAGCCCCAAAACCATGGAAAACATCAGCATTTGGGGAGCTATGGGCTCACCTCTCTGTGCTACTGTTTCTTTGTCTGTCTGCAGACTCAGGAAGACAAAACTCAGTTTGCATTGGGTCACATCTGGAAAGTTATCCTTGTGCCTCTCTACCTGTAATCAAATCTGCAGAAACCAGTAGAGCCCCCAGAGAAATGCTGGCACAGCAAGGCGTGCCACTGAGCACCAGGACAATGTAGCTTTTCAAATATAAGGAAATAAAAACCCCAATTTAAACATAGCAGATTAAAAGGTAATAGTTGACATGCAGTTCCTTTACTTACCTCCTGAGACCTGGAGCTCAGCATGGTATGCTTCCCCCAGAAAGTATCAAATGCTTAAAGCTTGCTGGATGATTTAGCTGCTTAGTTGTCAACTGGTGCAGGAAGACCACAGAAACTGCAAGTTGGGGCCCTTACAGTGTTTTTGTTTGTTTTTTAAATCAGTTTGTCTTTTAAAATGCACAGCACTGATTTGTGTAGCATTTAAATCTGCCGCTGTTCATAATTTTGACATCTGAAACCGCGCCGACATAAAATTCATCTTGAATAATGCTGTGCTTTGAATTTACTTTAAATCCTCTTATTGTTTTGTAATGCTCATTAAATAGTGGATCCTATATACACCTTCATGGGATGACTAAATTTATTTTAAGGTGGTAAATTGGGAAGTTGTGCACTATTTTACTTGGAAGGTCAACCTGCAGTGAATCGCTGACCATTTTTAAATTAAGATTGGATGTTTTTCTAAAAGATCTGCGCTAGGAATTATTTTGGGAGGCGGTTCTCTGGCCTGTGTAATGCAGGAGGTCAGACTAGATGACCACTGTCAATGGTCCCTTCTGGCCTAGGAATCTATCAATCTACCTGACTACTAACTAATAAATACATCTCACAATAGTGCCATGCATCCACAGATACCTACCTACATTGTGAGGCATCATTAACGTGTTTAGAACAAATAGGGTGACCAGATAGCAAGTGTGAAAAATCGGAACGGGGGTGGAGGGTAATAGGAGCCTATATAAGAAAAAGCCCCAAATATCGGGACTGTCCCTATAAAATCGGGACATCTGGTCACCCTACTCACAAACTCCTGTGAGGCAGGAACTGTTTAGAGCTCTATTCATAGATGTAGTCATTGGACTGCTTCTAGTTTAAGCGAAATAAAACATCGTAAAACCTCTGCGGTGCCCAATTAAACTTTGTACTGTGCTTTCCATGACTACCATATTCTTCATTAGAAAAGCACCTGTAAATAGTACACCTTTTGACCTGAATTTGTCATCAGGCTGCATTTTTATAGCAATCTAGATTTTCTTGACATCAGTAAAATAAAGTGACGTGGTTTAGCACTGGCCATTTTTGCCCTTGAGACATTTCAAGCCCAGACATGAGCGAAGGAGGTAAGTGTGTGTGGTTTCTCAGTTATATCATATGCGCTTGTTCAGAAAAGGAATTTCAAGTGGTTCGACCCCTTCTCGAAGGAGCCTGTGGCCTTTACATACTGCACTTGGCTGTCCTCAGTGTAGGCTGGTTTTGTGGCTGCAGATTAATAGGCCAGCATCTTGTTTGAGTCCTAAAATGGCTCACTGATAAATCTTTTTATTTATAAAAAAAAAAGCGGCTTGCATGACTGTCATGTTAGTCATCTTATTGCCCATGCTTTTCCATATGGTGGATTGATTTGTCCCTGTCAGTGGCCATGTGTAACAAAGATTCCGACGTAATCAGGGTTGGATGGATTTCTGAAGGCAATATCTTAGTTGCTTCATGTGTTCATTATCATTTGTATTGCAGTTGTTTCTGGGAGCCCCAGTCATGGATCAGGGTCCCATTGTGCTAGGCACTGTACAAATACATAACAAAAAGATGGCCCCCTACTCTTCACTGATAGTCTAAGTAGTCAGAAGTGAAGCTGTGAGGCTGGATTCTGCTTCGGGATTCACCAATATAAAACAGTTTACTTCAGTGGATTTACCATTTACATTAGTGAAACAGAGCAGAATTTGGTTCCTAATCTACAAACCCAGAGCCCAACAGCAAAAGACAGTTGTTAGAGGAATACAAAGAAGTGCTGATGATTCTCTCATTAAGTGCGTCTGAATGCTGATGACTGTATTACTAAAAGGCTATTTGAAAAGGGGGCATATCTACAGTGTGTGTAGATTAAATGCAAAAAAAAAAACCCACAACCCCAAACCAAAAATGATCAAGAAACATTCTTAAAATTTTGCCTGTACATTTGGGAAGTTCAAAAATGTGTGACCCCTACATCAGCAATAATCTCTGTCCCCTTTGCGCACAAACACCTTTGTTGCTGTACATGCCTGAATAGGTGCAGCGTGACTAAGCCGTAGTGCTGTGATGGTAATAGCTGTGTGTAAAATCTCAAACGCGATGCTACATTGAACATCTATTCTACCACTTTAATGATGAAGGCCGTAACTCAGCAAAGTACTTCAGCATGTACTTAAGTCCTATTAAGCACATACTTGGGCACGTTGTTAACTTGAAGCGCTTTGCTGAATCATGGGCCCAACAAAAATGTCTAAAGAGAGACGTGGTGCATTTCTAGCAACTGCATATTCAAAGAAATGTGCTGATGTCTTGAGGAAGTGGGTCTTGTGGGATCTCATCAGACACTTCATACTGGGGGGAGGAAAATGTTAATGGTCAGAGGTCAGGGACTTATTTTGTCAGTCCCCGACAAGTGTTCAAACAGCATCTTCTGTCGTTCATCACTAAACAACTAACGTGAACATAGAAAGCATACTCACAATTAACAATTTTGTATATATTTTACCTCAATACTACTATTCCTCTAGACTCCAAATGAGAATTTCAGTTAGACTTCTTAACCAGGATAAAAATTTACTCTCTTGCTAGACTGAGAGCCAAACCCGGGTACAAATATCCCGTATGGAGACAAACCCTGAGGAGCCAGTAAGAAATTTAGATCTGATGACACTATGCAAGCCTTTTAGGGCAGGGACTGTGTTTTTTTTATTTGCTTCTGGAAAGCAGCAGCCATGCATGTGGTGACTCCTAGAGAATTGTGAATTAGAAGGGTGTAATTCCATCCAGGGCGTCTGGTGATGCGTCGCTGACTTTGATATTGCCACGTGATCCAGAGTCAAATTATTTTCACACTTTGCAGCAGCTTCTGAAATGTTACTATATAAAATATGAGTGGGCCTTGTGCTTTCTGTGTGGGGGAGGGAGGGGGAACCCTTCTGAACATCTGGCTAGTATGATTTCACTCTTACTGAAACCTGGGCTGAGAAGTCTGCCTCGTGTTTATTTCCTTCCAGAGCGAGCGAACAGGGGTATAGTTTGAGAATAATTTGCAGAAAACAAATCCAGTAGAGAAGGCGTCTACTTTCAGTAGTCTATCTATAGTAGTATGTGTTTCAGTTGTGAAACGGGCTGTCTCTAACATGCTGCGGGATACACATTCAAAACCGAATCCTGTCAAAGGAGAAGGGTACCCGATCGCTCAGCCACCCAAACATCCCCTCTAGCAAATGCCTGAGGAAATCTGGGCCTTGCCCCATGCCCTAAAGACCAACAGACTTCGGCTCTGTCAGAGCAGGAAGTAAATTCCATGGGGGGAAAAGGGTCCCTCATTGAAAACACACTGCAATCAAAACCCTTCACGTTTCAGTGTAGTGACTGTCATAATATTGCCAATTCCAAGTATTCAAAAATCTTGAGTTGGGCCCCAAAAGTTATGATTATATATAAAATCCCCTGGGCTTGTCTTTTTTTTTTATTTTTTTTTTTAATAAGATGGAAGTGTTCTGGTTTCTGAGCCATCAGGATGCACTTGGGTCATGTTTTGGGGAGCGGTTTTTCCCCTGCAACCATGTAGGCTAGAAACTTTTTAAAATGAAAACTGAGATGACTCTGGGAACTTGGGCTTTGTTTAAAAAAATAAAACATTAAAGCAAATATTGCAAGACTGGAAGCAAAATTACAAGAGTTGACAACACTGGCTCAAGCAGTGTAGATTACTGATGGATAGAAAACCTCTAAATGCCATCTTTAAAATTTACATAATTGTTGCACTAGGCTTGAAGGTAACAGGAAAACAAAATCCCTACAGCTAGGTGTTAAATTGTAAAACTAAGTGTGTGTGATACGTGACTTCGTTCATATGTAATGAAAATTACGTTTAACGGTGGAAAGCAGGAAATGTTGATGATAAACAGCCTTTCTTCAAAGGATCCAGTAAAGTTTACCTTTGACTTCACCATATATGTGCCTACCGTGTAAATCTATTCTGTGGTTTGGCAGCCTCTTGTGAATGTCTTTCCCCCCCTTTTTATTGGCTTTTGTCAGATCTTTGGCTGTCTTCTCATCTGCAGCTCATCTCTCTTCAGAAGCAGGGAATCCAACTTCCTGAGAGCTCTAATTGTTCTTTGTCCCTTTCTAATGCAATGTTGCAGAGGAAGATGATGGAGATGAGGCTGCAGAATTTCAGTCATCTGGGAAAATCGGAGCAAAGAAACAGAGGAAATTAGAAGAGAAACAAGCCAGAAAAGCCCAGAGAGAGGTGAGTGTTTCCTGCTATGTTTAAAGCACAAAGCAAAGGGCAGGTGATAGCTGACCTAGAGAAGGCAGGAGTTGTTCTTTGGTCACAAAAGCTGAGAGTTTTATCGAAAAAATACCCACTTTGTCTCAGAAGCCCAGTCCCCTCCAATCCATCATCTGGAGTTCTGGAAGAGCGGCTGACATCTGTGATTGCACATTTTGTATTGGCCCGTTGACAACAGTGACCATTTTCACTAGTCTGAGTCACACGTCCCCTTACTTAGGCATCCCCAGCCCAAATTATATCAGTTTTGCTGTGCAGAAATTTCTGTGCCCCAAGCATAGTGCAAAGTGAATCGAAATGTAAGACGACCCTCTCTGTGGTGCCTGTCCCTGCAGCACCACACAAGGAACCTTGCGGGCTGGCAGGCTGTTTCCAAAACCCCCGAAAAGGGAGCATAGGGCTTGCCCTTACTACAGCCTCAAGTCTGTAGTAGCAGTTATGGAATGTCTGTGCAGTGCTCCATGCTCACCTGTAGGGGGAGGGTTCCGCTTCCTACACCAACCACTGCGCTGGTTCTCCATGCACAGCCTTGTCCACTTGTTCCTTGGGGATTGGATGATAATTTGGTGACATAGGCAAGCTGTGTCCTTGCAAAGCCCATTGAAGTGTGTAGGAGCTGAGCATTCAGTCCTTAGGCCAGAATTCAACAGAGAGCAAACAAAAAACCTAGAAACCAGACATCTCTTTGCTATGAATATTCATCCGTTTCCTAAATTCTAGCCGGGGCGGGTTGGGTCACAGAAACTCCCTTGGGATCTGCTACCTATGTGCTGGGACTACCTCTGAGCCCGTTTTCCCTGGCAGCTTGGGACTTCGGTACCTTGCCCTGTTTGAGCCAGACACACTTGCCTGCTGCAAACACAGATCCAAGTCTGAACCACGTCCCCCACAAGCTGCAGGCTTAACTGAAAACTGCTTAAGAAGTGCTCCTGTCTCCAGCACTCAGATACCCAGCTCCCAATAGGGTCCAAACCCCAAATAAATCTTTATACAGCTTTATACAGAGTAAACTCATAAATTATTCGCCCTCTAACACTGATAGAGAGAGATGCACAACTGTTTGCCCTCCCCACCCCCCCGGCACTAATACTTACTCTGGGTTAATTAACAAGTAAAAGTGATTTTATTAAATATAAAAGGTAGGATTTAAGTGGTTCCAAGTAAACAGAACAAAATGAATTACCAAGCAAAATAAAACAAAAACACGCAAGTCTAAGCCTAATACAATAAGAAACTAAATGCAGGTAAATCTCGCCCTCAGAGATGTTCCAATAAGCTTCTTTTACAGACTAGCCTTCCTCCTAGTCTGGGTCCAGCAAACTCTCACACCTCCATAGTTACTGTCCTTTGTTCCAGTTTCTTTCAGGCATCTCTTTGGGGTGGAGAGGCTATCTCCTGAGCCAGCCGAAGACCAAATGAAGGGGTTCCCCAGGGGCTTGTATAGTCTCTCTCTTGTGGGTGGAGACCCCTCTCTCCCCCTGTGTAGAATCACAGCGACAAGATGGAGTTTTGGAGTCACATGGGCAAGTCACGTGTCCATGCATGACTCAGTTCTCTACAGGAAGTTCCCAGGAAAGCTCAGATATGGATTGACGTCTATCAAGGTCCATTGTTAGCCAAGTACTTCCATTTACTTGAATAACCCCTTCACACGATGTTGACCAAAACTTCCGTAGGTGCTTTCTACAGCAAACACTTTAAATACAAGCATAGAGCCAATGCTCATAATTTCAGATATAAAAATGATACATGCATACGAATAGGCTGAATACATGCAGAAGAACATAACCTTTGCAAATATGTGTTACATGGCATATCTAGCATAAAACATATTCCAGTTATGTCATATCTATACTCATAAGCATATTTCTATAAAGCATTATGGGGTGCAACGTCACACTAGCTCTGCATATTAAATTACCAGTTGAAACACTCTGGATTTTTCAATTACACTTGTTTAACTGCTGTAAGTCCAGGGGTAACTAATCAGCAACAGCAAACCCTCCTAAAGCACATTAGTATATGACTCAAGTTTTTATACGTTAATTTCTTTTTCCTGTTCTACTTTACTGGCCTGCAATCTCTGTAACCTGGAGTATGGTTTGCAAAAACTTGATGTAACTGCAACAGACTTTTGCGTAACAGAAAAGACGCTCGCCACAGTACAGAGTGAACAAAGTAATAATAAGAGAGTTAAACAAGTCTGTTGAGCTGAAATTGACCTCTGCACAGGATCAACACAAAGCCACTCAAAATCCCACATAAGCCCTGCTTTAAGAAATAAAGTGGTGCCCAGATCTTACACTCAGGGATTAAATTTACCTCAGCTTGCTGTGGTGATAAGTGCTATAGATAGCATATATCGTAGCAAATACTACATGATTCTGTATAGTCTTCCGTTACGATCCTGTCTTCCCTTGCTCATAACTTTAACCATTTTTGGTTTTTACTTTCCAAGCTTGCTCTTTTATGGAAATTTTGAGCAAAATCAATTAAGTTACTTCGGAATTAGAGCCGTGGTTTTCCACCTGTGGTCCACAGACCCCAGGGGACCCACAGACTAAGATTTCCAAAGGGGTCTGCACCTCCATTTGAAAATTTTTAGGGGTCCGCAAATGAAAAAAGGTTGGAAACCACTGAGTTAAATAAAGGGTGGGGGAGGGCAGAGGAGAAATCCTTTGTTCCATTTTCAAACAAGCTGATTTTCTTTCTTTTTTTTCCACGCAGATAACTCAAAACACCTGACAGTTAAGCTGAAATGTTCCAGGTGGCACATTGTCAGTGAGGATGAGTCTCCTGGCTATTTAATTTAAAAAACACAGATTAGATCAAGTATTTTCTGGAATGGGGAGAAAGAGAAAATAATAAAGAAATATCAAGATATTTTAAGCAATAGTCTAAACCATCCATTTTGAATTATTTTTTTTTCTCCTTGGAACAATTTGTGTGTATTGGGTATAGTGGCTGGTTATTTTGTGGGGCGGGGTTCTTGTGTTAAGTTAAATTTAATCTTCCTAATAGTAAGATTTCCATTCTTTATCTAGGAGAGCAGTTTTTCTATTTTTAACTAAAATAATTTAAATGTGCTTTCATTGTATGAATCCTTTAAAGGATGCCATTCAGATTAATAAGAACAAAATTCAAGGTACATTGTAAAACATAAAAATTTTACATTTGCAGTTTGGTTGTTTTTGATTTAAAGTGAAGGGAAAAGTCAATGGCTTCATCACAGTATTCAATAGCAAAGCTACAAAAACAAGCTAATACATGCATTCAGTGGAGGTGAAAACTTCGACAAGGAAACTGATATTTTAAATCTCCATAGGGATCATTTATAAACTGAGTGGAAATACTAAAATTCGAAACAAACGGAAAACCCTGATGATGATGACAAACTAAAATAGCTTCTCTTTTTTTAAAAATATCAGTTGTGTATTTCTGGACACAAGAGTCCAGGAAACTGATGAGAGATAACTGATGCTCGTAAATTATGAAACCAAAGATTGAGAGAGAATAATTTATTGCCTTTTTTTTTTTAGGCTGAAGAAGTAGAGCGTGAGGAACGGAAAAAACTCGAGTCAAAGAGAGAGGAGGAAAGGCGGAAAGAAGAGGAGAGATTACGCCTTGAAGAAGAAAGACAGGTGGGACTTGACTGAGTTTGCAGATGGAAATTCTAAAGCAAATTTTGCCCTTTGTTACATCTTTAGTACAAAGAGGGCTGTATGCAACCTTCAACTGAGCTGAAATCCCTGCTAGTGTTAGGCACTATCAGACAAGCCTGTGACTTTTGTTGCGTTATTATTTGTATTATGATAGTGCCTAGAGGTCCCACCAAAATCAGGGCCCTGTTGTATTAAATGCTTGACAGACACAGTCCTTGCTCTCACAAGCTTACCGTCGAAGTAGACAAAACAGACAAAGGGGAAGTGACTAAGCCCCGAGGTCACACAGCCGGTCAGTGGCTAGAACTCTCATCTTCTGATTCCCAGTCCAGTTGTCTGTTCACTACTCCACACCGGCTCCTTTTGTGTTATAACTTTGCCATTAAAGAGTTGTCTGGTCGATTTGCTGTGACAGTGAATGCTGACTTAGATAGCCATCCAAGGGACCGACAGGAAAATGCTTGGCCACGAAGGAGTATACTTAATGAAAGAGATCCTATCAAATTATAATGGGAACTTTGGTGAGGTACTCCAGATTGGTCTCTTAGGGGAGAGGGCTGGTTATCAGAAAGGCGTCTTAGCCCAGCATTCACTGTAACTTTAAATCCATGTCGTGTAGGGAGTGACAGACTCACCAAAGCTGGCAGGCTAGACTGCAGCAGCACCTCCTGGGGCATTGCAGTGTGAATACTTATTTTGGAAATCTTTAAAAATGAATATTAGTGGGTGAAGCAAAAGCAATTAGGAAAAGCAGATACTGGGCATACATCAAAGCCTCTGTTAAAGTATCCCTTCAGCTAGGGGACTGGAAGGCAGACAGTTCTTCTGAGGCTTCTCTGAGCAGCAAGGACCACTCTGGTGACAGCTAGTGGCTAAGAACAAGCTTCATATTCTCTCGGGCACTTGAGCAAGCTGTACAGAGGCTTTAGGGCATGCGTCCAGGGGTGAGTCTCTGTCAGATATCATGCAGCATCATGCGTTGCATTCGCACCTACCAAAGGGGCCAGAATACCCTCTGAAATAATCGACTGGCATACTGGGACGAGGATGCTGATTTGTGTCTGCCTGCTTGCAGTAAGCCAGTTTATTTTAGTTGCTCAAAATAGGGGTTGTGTATGTTGATATCAGAAAAGATGAGTCACTTTGCCTTTTAACATGCTGGGTTGAATGCACAGAACATAGCGTGTAGGAAGTCTTATAAAAAAGTGTTTGTTTTCCCAAACTTTACATAAGGAAACTAACAGAGGGCTCCTAAAATGCTCTTTTTTTCTGCCTAAACAAAATGTTTCTGCTCTGGTTATCCATTGAAAAATTCCTTCCTCGCTTCTGAGCTACTCTGATGTGCCGGTACATCAGTGGAAAGCTTCTGGGCTGTTAGTTTTTTATGAACGATGAGAGCGTCGTCCAGAGTTATTGTAGCAGGGATTAAGAAAGCAAAAAACCAAGTGTTTTGGAAGGGTGCATATATACCCTTGTATTTCAGGGAATAAACAACCTCTAACTCACGGGGCTCAGGAAGAAACATTCTCGGTGAGCAGGTTATCCAATAACCTCCCACTCCACAGTTTCTTGCACCTTCCTTGGAAACAGGTGATACTGGTCACTGACAGAGATGTGACACTGGACTAGACAGAGTATTGGTCTGATTCAGACAAAACCTTCTGATTTCAAAATCCGTCAACAAACGCAACCACCGCAGCAGGTGGATTTCTTACCAGGAAGGCAGTTTGTTCAGTATGTGCAAGCTGTCTGAGAACAAGCTTCCTTAGCGAGGACAGAGGTGGTGGCAAAGGGTATATTGCAAAGTGATGTTTTCCTATGGCTCCTTCGCTCCCAGTGGCAATCCCTTTAACTGGTATTCGCATGAAAGCTGCTTAATAGAGGCCAGTCAACCAGTGTTGAGGAGCTGAGTGGTAGGTATGTGTGGAACTTTACACAATGACCTCTTCACATAGACTTTGCCACATTAGAAGGAAAAGACCAAAGCAGTCTTTGCAAAATTCTACTCACCCAAAGTGAATCAAATACCATTATTATTATTTTTTTTCATTGTCATTGTTCATGGTTAAGTGAGAGGGAAAAGATTTTTGTGTCTGGACTGGGGTGTTTTTTGTGGCTGGGGGAAAAGAAGATGAATAAAGACTCTCAGGCTCCTGAAAATCCCAGCCTAAACAGAACTACTGTGGTTTAGTCATGTATTATTTAGAACAGTATCTTAATGGATCCTTTCAGCGCTTCCCTTCAATAGTCTTGTAACTTTAGTGGGGACAACAGGCCTACCCACTAGGCTGGCGCGTTAAGGGTATTCTGCTGCCTTATGAAACTCTCTCACAGTTTTTAAGCAAATGAATTCCATTTCGTATGAGAGAGAACAGGAGCCAAATAACCACCAAATGCTCTGGACTCCTCCACAAAGCGAGCTACTCTGGCCATATGTAGCCCATGAGTTGAGCTGGACATCTGTTATAATAGAGGCTCTTCCCATTGGACTCTTCTCTGAATCTTTAACAGGAAGTGGGACCATTCTAGTGCCCCGGCTTTTTACCCAAGAGCTAGGCTTGTTAATCAGAAGCTCTTGCTCCAGTCAGTGGACAGAGCAGCGTTTACAGGGAGGATCACAGTAACAGGAATTTAACCTGTTAGTATAGGAGAGTGTAAGATGCTGGCTTCCTCGCCAGCCTGAGGAATTATCGCCCATGCCACGCTAGTCTTCAGCTCTTGGTTCTGGGCTCCACTTATTGTCCAAATGGCCACAGACTCTCAAAAGGCAAACAAAACCCCCAGCTGGGTCTTTCTACCCAGCCGTGATGCCCAGGGCTTCCTCCCTCAGGGACTGCTGCAGGACGCTATTGCTTCCTGAAGTCCCCCCTCAAAGGAGCCGATTGCTAGCCTTTACAGTCACCAACTCCCTTCACAGCTGAGTCTGATAATTGAGCAGGCCAGGCTGGCCCTTAAAGGGGTGGGTCCACCCTTTTACAGCGAGAATAAAAGGGGTTAACAAAGTGGGTAACTATACCCACGTGCACATGTTGTGCTAACAGACAGAGGTGTTCCCTGCACAACACTGTCGCTTTCGAGTCCTTTTACAGACTTGGCCTATGACGTCAAAGGTCAAAATATTAACCTGTTTGACCCCTTTATCTTTCACAAGGGCCAAGGAGAGATGATGCTGTTTGCAGACTGCCTAAGCTAGAATGTGCCTTTCGTACTTCCCTTTTATTTAAAAAAAGGGGGGAAAAAACCCTTAAATTATTGCTTACCAGAAACTTAATGTCTGAAACCAATTCTTGTGGGCAGCACACACACACACTGTTCCTAGCCACTTACAGCAATTAGAAAATGGAAAGGCCAAATTACTAAAGGTTTATGCAACCAGAGATTGATTAGTCATGAGTTAAAAACGGGGGAGAGGGCAGTTACGGAGCTTTGTATCTCCAGCCCTGCATTCAGTTTGAGGCAGGTGCTCTTGGTACTGACGCTTCTGTTGCAGAGTCATAATCCCACAAAGCACAGTGAATTCAGAATTAAGAGTTTAGCTAAGAAATTGTACTGAGTCTTCCTGATACCCTGATCCTTGCCTCAGATCCATCCAGTTACTCCTGCAATTCGAGGTAGCTCAACCATCTGCCCCTAGGGGTTTTGTGTTTTTCTTCTCATCGATTTCAGGGAAGATGTTTAGGAGCAGGGATGAAGGCAAGTAGCAGAGTCATGGATGCGAAAAGGGGGGGCGGGGGGTATTTTGTACATAGTGTTAATAGAATTTATATTACATGAAACAGTTAACATATGAACCCACTATTTTTTCCACATGGACCTTGTCCATGCCATAGAAGCACCATGATTTATACATGCAAGAGAAGTTCTTTAAAGACTATTTTCCAAAGGAATTAACAAACGAGCAGTAAAACTCAGTGAGCTAGTTGAGTTACCCTTAGAATTTCTTCCTTTTGTGTGCATCTTATAGAGAGCTACCAAAAGAGATTTCCTTTCCATAAGAGTTGACATTCACTTCCTGGAGGGGATGCTGTTCTTTCGGCCTGCCTAGAGAAGTTAGCTACACCCAAACCGAACAGCTAGATTCTCTCCAGTGATCCAGACAGTTTGATGGCCCAGGAAAGTTTGTCAAAAGTTAGGGTGATTCCTGATTGGGTTACAGTAGTTACAATTTACAAAATCCAGTAACTGGATTTACTTGATTATAGACGCCCTTCATAGTATTCACTTATAATCTCATCTTGTCTATTAACCCATTACTCTGAGTGGACAGGCAGTTTAATGAAAATTGAGAATCTTAAAGACCAGTGAAATCCCAGAATTGCTCCGATTTACCTTTTATAGGCGGATGGATAAATACCGTCCATTTCTTCTGGGTAACTTTTTTCACAGCATTGCATAAAGCTTAGCTGTAAACGGAAACTGCTCTTTAATAGGAGTCCTGGGCACTAAAATCTCAAACTTTGTGAGAAAATGAGCTCACGGGTGCTATTTTAAATGTAATTATTTATATATATAAAAATAAAATGTGGTTGCCCCTTAGCTGCAATGTTGCAAACTAGAGAATATATTTTTAAATTTTAGAAGTTTCCTTTCCGTGTTCTGGTGACCTGATTGGCTCCATCTGTGAAGAAGCTCTTTTATGATTGGTATTGGCTTCAGCAGTGCCTTACCCTGGGGATTTCCCTTTTACTCTTGGAGTTTTTTGGTGGTGAAATGGTTTACCGACCGACACCTTATCAATGAGAACTAACTTCCTCTGATGTTGCAAAACAGCGCCCTTCGTGAGCAATCTGCAAAGCTTTTGTGTAAAGAGCTTGTGTTTCTGTGCACAGGGATTTTGTATGTTTTGCTCCCTACAGCACCAGCAAATCTACAGTCGTTTGAAAAATTGCATACAGCGTGTGTGGCTGAGACAGACATGTAACTTCATGCCTGTCCTGTAACGAAATAATATATTGGAACAGGATGTGCTGCCTGAAAGC